GTGCACCTCGCCACGGCTGAGGAGGGCTACTGCCACTGGGCGTGAGGTGTGCCGCCCACTTGCCTGCCATTTTGTCACCCCCCTCAGTCATGACACCCAGGGTGGGTTGCACCCACCGCACCCCCCTTCCTACGCCTCTGCCCAGGCCACACACCTCACACTCTCCTCAAGTGCATTTGGCTGGAATGTGCTCCTGAACTCTGACAATGCCTCTTGCTTGTCCTTATGGAGGACTAAGGTGTGCATAGACATCACTGACTTGTCTATGGCTGGAAGGTAATAAGAGTCATACACAGTGGTACCTTGGTTTTCGAACATCTCCATTTTCAAACAGTTCGGTTTTTGAACGCCATAAACCCAGAAGTAAATGCTTCGGTTTTCGATCAAGCCTCAGAAATTGAAGATGCCACGTGGCTTCTGTATTGAGTTTTCTGGATTGAGGCTTCCATATTGAGTTTTCAGTTATCAAATGTTTCGGAACACGAACAGTCTTATGTTTCGGAACATGAACGGATTGTGTTTGAAAACAGAGGTACCACTGTAGTTGCCTGACTGGTTTTTTGCCTCTAGCCCAGGGGTCGGCAAGGTTTATCTTGCCTGGGCCAGAGATCCCACTGGGCCAGAGATCCCTCTGTGGGCTGGATCGTGCGTGCGCGCATGCGCACCTGCAATTTTTGGCGTTTACATGTGCACAGATGCGATTTCCAGCACCATGGAAGCAAGTCCCCGTGCCACACTGTGCCAGTTTAGCACAGCTTGTAAGCGGGCAGCTCAGTTTGGGGGTGGCTCAGGGGCCGGTCAAACGACCTCCGCGGGCCACTTCCGGCCCATGGGCCTTTGGTTGCTGACCCCTGCTCTAGCCCAGTCCACCCTGGCATGTGATTCCCATAAGGCTGCCTGTGAGGGACTTGGTCTCTCAAGCAAAACAACAAAACAAAAAAGCTATAAAAGCTATTAAAGTTGTACAGGCAATGGTTTTTTTTAATTTCTTCTTTTCTTGCTGCTGGCTCTCCAACTCTTCCTCACATGCTCCCTCCCAGTTCTGGCTGGATAACCCATGAACTTTATTCAAAAATGCTAGGTATGCCAGGAAACAGAAATCAGGATAATGGAACTTCTCTTTGGTAGCCAGGTGGACTGGAGGAAACAGGCTGAGATAAGTGCCTCTCATGGGCTGTTGCCAACTCTCCATTGCAAGCTGCTCATTTTAACATGTTGGCAAGAGGCAACGCCAACCCAAGTGGCCAGCATTGTATTAATGGCTGCATTTGCTTTTGTGATCCTTCACATCAATGCATTGCCCAGTCAACAAATGGTGTGATTCTGATAGCATCTGTGTCTGCAAATTTATATGACTGGGATAATTATGGATGCAACTGTGCACCAGAAACAGGTTGCAAGTGCAATAAAAGACAAGGTGTTGGAATGCTGAACAAACTGGCTACACAGGATACCCCTTACCATTACCACCACGGCAGCAACCAACCGGATATGAAATTCAGGAGTATTTCCAAATCTGAGCTGAAAATTCAATTAAAAAATATTAAAATTGATTTCAATTTTGAAGGGTGCTTTTGACAGGTAGGTTTTGAGTCTGCTTGGTGACAATATTATCCCTTTGTACATTTTTATACTGTTTTTTAAATTGGCTTTACTTTTGTTTTAAATGATATTGTTTTTATATTGTACATAGTGCGCACCACTTAGATATTTGTGAAATATTAAGCAGCTTAGCTATGCTTTTAGATAAATTGCAGTAACTTGCCCAAATGGTCATTTTTATACCACCCACAGTGGGGAATCAAATTGGGTGATGCTGTGGAGGTAAAAGGGAGAAGAGCCACCGTCTTGTCCCGCTGGTCCAGTTCTGGACTAGGCAATGCTCTTTCTCCCCAGGAATGGAAAGAAGAGGCAATGGTAGGGAGAGTGATGGAGCAGTGGAATACCCCAGCCCCAAAATAACAACACCTGATAGCACCATGCCATTAGTACTACCAAATGTTAACCCTCTGCTTTGATCTAGGAAAAGAGCTCTTGTAAAAGTGCAGGATACCTTGGTCTCCCCCCTCCCTGTTTTATCCTCACAACAGCCCTGTGAGGCAGGCTAGGCTGAGGTGCAAGGCCACCCTTAGCTTCATGGCCAATTTAGGGCTTAGAATCCTGGTCTGCCTGAACCTAACGCAGCCCTCTACCCACTACACCACACTGGCTAGAAAGCAACAGTGGAAGTTCCCAAATGGGGGGGGGGGATTCTTTTACTGATGAATTTCCGGTGTCGCATGGGAGGTTGGGGGGTTGGGCAGGGAAAGCGGATAATCTGGAAGCTGTCACTGAGCCAAGAGATGTATAATGACATCCTCTGGCCTTGGGAAGCAAAGTAATTGCTGGCCAGAGTTGGACAGACACCTGGAACATGTCAGTGTCCTGCTTCCCAGACCCTCCTGAGCTCTGACCCAGAGAGAGGTCCTTTCAGAGCTTGCCAGCGAAGGCCTTTTAACTCTCCTAACCATCCTGCATGATGGTCCCTCAGTAGTTCTGCACAGGATGAGCTGCAGCCAAAGCAAGCTCTGCTGGGAGGCTTCCAGTGGTGGAAACTACAGGGAATAATCTCTTTCTTCCTTTCAGAAATAAGAAGGTGTTGCATATCAGATGAAGCCCAACAGCCACACATGTTGGGGAAGGCTTCATCTACCAACAGCTCTACCGGCCGGTTCCTATCATCTTCTTTGCTCTATTTGTTTATCCCATCTGTAGCTCACCTTTTTTCCAAGGAGCTCAAGATACCATACCTGGTTTTCTCTCCCCCCCCCCCCCATTTTATCCTCACAACAACCCAAGTGAGTTTCATGGCAAGAGTGGGGATCTGAATCCTGGCCTCCCAAATCCTACTCCAGCTCTAACCATTAAGCCACACTGACTCTAAAGCTCCTGAGCAGGCCTACGTTATTTGTGACCCTCCAACCAATAATCAGATCACTGGCCACTGGCCTACCAGAGGTATGATTGCCACACCCACCCTGTTTTTGTGATCCTGGGCAGAGCACACCAGCCTTGTAAATAAACCATCAAAAGTTATTAGCTTTCTTTTATTTTCCCTAATCTGCTGGGGGCTGGAAAGTGAGGGACAGAAGGCTGCATTTCTCTGCGGGGTGCAGAGGAGGGGGCTTCCCTCTTGGTTTCTACGGTCAGCGCAGGGTGGAGCAAAGTGCTCTGTGCCACCAGCAGTCTTGCTTGTCTGTATTTCAGGATAGCTCTTAAATACAAGGTTGACATATACAGGATGGTCCACATCAGCAGGGCCGAGAGTGGGGGGTTCTTGTCATCTGGGCAGCTCAGGACCTCCATACACACTGCCCAGGCTTGCGCCCCAGAGAGGTCCCCTTGGTGCTGCTAACGCCGTGAAAACAATGCAGGCAGGAGACAGCAGCTGCTGGTCCCCGCGGCCATCGTGAGACACACTCCTTTGCCTCCCAAGACAGACGGATGCAAACACCATGCATGGCTTGGAGGACTGCAGTTGGCTTAGCAGGCCTGTGTTTTGCAGACCTGCTCCAGGATCACCACAGCAACAGAACATAGGACGATGTCAAGCAGCTTGGTCAGTAGTTACCTGGGTCTTCCTCCCCCCCCCCCTTTTGAAGATGGGCACACCATTTGCCCGCCGTCAGTCTGCAGGGACCCCACCTGTTCTCCAAGAGTTCTCAAAGATCATAGACAAAGGCTGTGAGATGACACCCGCAAGCTCCTTTAGTATCCTTGGGTGCAGCTCATCAGGCCCTGGAGATTTGAATTCCTTTGAAGTAGTTCCTTTGAAGTGTTCCCTTACTACCTCCCTATTGCTGAGGACCAGGTCCAAGTCATGAGTTTATAGTGGGCTTGCAGTCCACCATGCCTGCATTGTGCCCTGCCGGGTGTGCAACAGTCATCATCCTGTTTTGCTATCCCAGGCAGGCAGGAGAAAATGGGAACCTTACCAAACCCTAAAAACAGGCTGCAGGGACAGCATGTAGGGATAGCGCTGTGTGAGCTTATGCCTGCTTGCAGGTTTCCCATAGGCATCTGGTTGGTGAGAACAGGATACTGGTCTAGATCCCTTACCTTTCCTGGTCTAGATGGGTCTTTTGGCCTGATCCAGCAGGGCTCTGCTTATGTGGCAAAACCCCCATGTGGTTTACACTTTCTATGTCCCTCTCAGGCTTGCATTACAATGCGAATACACGACTTTACAGGCTGACAGATGCTCGGCTGCCTCACATTGGACAGAGTTTGGCTCTCCGTTTGCCGCAGTTGCCTAGCCTCCCTCTCTCTCAGTCCTGCTTTTTTCCAAGCCTCAGTCGCCAGGTCCCCACCCAGACTGAGTCAACAGCATGTGTTTGAAATGTCACATGGAAACCGTGTCCGCCTCCCAAGTCCAGGAGGGCTGTTGCCGTGGATTTTGTCCTTCTCTCTTTCTCTCCTTCTCTCTCTGCTCCTTTCTCTCTGTGTTACTGTGTGCTGCTATGGCATGTGATGTGCTAGGAATGTTATAAAAGATGACGCTGGGTCTCTGTGAGACTGTCACTTGAGGGGAGACCCTGCCTTGTGTCTCACCAAGGGTCCATCCAGATGGCTTTAATTTCAGTGACCTGGGGAATGATGTTTTATGGCATGACACTGTTTTATGTTATGTCATAAAAACAGGAATTGAACAGCTGTTTTTGAAATTCTTCGTGAGATGATGGAATGCATATGATTCAGTGCTAGACCTGATAGTTCTTTGACTGGGATATCTGAAAAGCTCCTTAAGGATGTAAGATAGGTGTGTTTTTTAAAGCAAACCTCTAAAGGATATATACATTACAAGCAAGTTTAAAAGGCATTCCCTGCCCCCAGAAAACCCTGGAAACTATAGTCCGGAAGTTGAGTGGTAGTGGTTAGTGGTCCCCAACACAGCCAGTTTTAAAAATGACAACTTTATTTTTCAGTTTCATTAAAAAAAAATAACAAACAATCCTGCTATACCCCTATCCCACAAGAAACATTCCCTGAATATGTAATGTAACTTATACAATCAAAAAATAAGCAGATTTGTAGAATAGTTTAAAGTTGAATGCACCGTTAAGTGTCCTCTAGCCTCCATCCTAACAGATTGTCTGAGAGTGAGCCATGAGTTGGCGGTGATGAGACGGCATTGTCCTTTCCTGTGTATTAAATAGAAAAATGTACTTTACCATTTCAAAATCAGATTTGGTCTTTGTGTTTCCTAGTGCTCCAAGATGCTTTGTTGGTTTCTCCACAAGAGCTCTATTCCATAGAACGTCTGGAGCATCTGCTTTCCAATCTTGTGTTAATCAGTGTACATGTAGAAAAGGTTCTTTCTTATGGCCATCTAACAACAGATGTAGTAAAGCTAGGCACTGATCAGGTTGTATCATCTGTTCCGTAACCGACGAAACGTCTTCAGATCCCATTTCCCAAAATAACTGTACTCTGCTTGAGCATCATCAATACAAATGGAAGCTGTGTGCAGGAGATCTTCCAGGTGCAGGGCTTGCATCAGCACCCAGCATCCTTGGGCAGCTGCCAAGGCTTCAGGGTGTTGGCGCTTTGCCCAGCCTCACTTTATTTACTGCACTCTGAACGATGCCAGGCCAATGAAGCTACCCACCCTATTAATTATCCACAAAGCACTTGACCTGGCATTATTCTGGGGCATTGTAGTAAATTAAAGGGGAGTGTTGCCACCACAGCCAGAAAAGCCCTGCAAGGCCCACTAGTAGAGGGGCCCACCAGAGGGCGCATTGTCTAGGGCCTCCTCAAGCCTGAAGTTGGCCGTGGGTGACCCACAAGACACAAGTATTGCAAGTATTGTGTGTCTGGCCTGGAAGCTCTAGCAGGTGCAAAATGGTGTGGCTGGAGGGTTGATGCGGACAGACTACCACCAGTGCATAAAAGCTGGCACTGACTGCCCATGTGTTACCAGTTCTTGTATTAATTTGCAATGCTCTTAAAGACTTAGGTTCAGGATATCGTAAGGACCACCTGGCTTCTTATATCCCACCCCAGTCACTGAGATATTTGGGGGAGACTCTCTTGGTGGTACCCTGAGGCCCAGGTCAGTGGCGTAGCGTGGGGGGTGCAGGGGGGCCGGCCACACCGGGCGCAACATCGGGGGGGGGGGCGCTCGCACTCGCAGCTCTCTGCCCCTACCTGGCTCACTCACTCTCTCTCACTGCAGTGCTGGCTGTGCGAATCCGATCCGAGCCGCTGGGTCGCCACCCACTGTGGAGGGGGTGGGTGCCAGGCGTGCGGTGCGGAGAGAGAGAGAGAGGGACTATCTGGGGGAGGGACAGTGCAGCGGCCGCCCAGCGCAGCGCTGAGCGCGGGAGAGAACCACACCAGACCAGACCAGGCAGCAGCAAGAAGAAGCTGGCAGCGGCGGCAGGTTAGGGGTTAGGGGGCGCAAATTACTTGCCTTGCCCCGGGTGCTGACAACCCACGCTACGCCGCTGGCCCAGGTTCATGATTTAGAACTACCAGAAGCCCTGCATGTAGTGGGCCCCAGTCTGTGGATCCGCCTCCCTGCTAAGATTAGGCAGACCCCCCTCCTTGCTGAACTTCAGGCACCTGACAGAGACTTTCTTGTTCAGCTTGCATTTCAAGGCATAGTTTGGTTTTATGGTATTTTTTTATTTTGTTGTTTCATTTGTACTATCATTTGTTTTTAAGTACACCACTTAGAAAAGCCAATGATAAAGTGTTATACTGTACTAAACAAATAAATTTGGTCTTAAATGAATAAATTAACCATGTATGACACCTTGTGTTTTTAAATGCATTGCTCCTAGACTTAAGTACTGTACTGGGCTAATGAGCCATCCAAGTTCAAATCAACCAGGAAACAAACAGAACAGCCCTTTTATCAGGAGTGTAATGATGACTCCAACAATCAGAGCTGCTGTCCTCAGGACATCAAAATTTAAGGAAGCCCCTGCAAGGAAATTTAAGGAAGCCTCTGGACACTGGCCAGACAAAGAATGGAAGCAGGAATACACATTTGCCAAGTACTGTCAAATGTTTTTACATGTGCTAGAAATAATGGTTTCAGCTGCAAAGAAGCAACAGGAGCTTCAGGGAATGGATATCAGCCCGGGAAGATTTGAAGTGAGCTGGGAATGAAAGACACCAGGGTGTTAATAGTTGCAGTCCTGGCCACTTTGTTTGACTTGCTTTTGTTCCACCTCCATAAACTTCCCTGTGCGCTGCCAGCGGGGTGCCGCATGCCTTGCCTTGCTATATAAAATTGCTGCATGCGCAGGCCTCCCCACAGCTGCAGGCCCTTCGTCAAGGACTGGTCGCATTTTGCACAGGGTGGAATGCAGTTCTTGCATTTGTACATGAGAAATGAGGATCATGCACAATTTCATGGATTAATCACTTAATTATCTGAGTTGAAAGGTGTTGCTGATTAGTGGGCCTGCAACTGGAAAAAAATATTTTCAATATAAGCCGTTGCAAAAGTTATAGGTGGCAGGCACCGTTCCTTCCCCTAGGAAGGAGGCTAGTGGAGAAAACCTCTTCTAAGATAGGACCTGGGACTCAGCTAGATTGGTAAAGAAAAAGTGTTTTATATTAAAGATTCTGAGTGGGGCATAAGTTCCATTGGGACTTCTTAGTAATTGTTTGTGACAATTTTCCCATGTTCAGAGGACAGCTAATTTCTGCTTCATAGAAATCAGGCTCAGATTTGTCTGAACAGAGAAACATTGTCACATGTTCCTTGGGTCATATTGGGTAGGGGTGGAGAAGTTGTGGTGTTCCTGATGTTGTTGGATTCCTGCATTGCAGGGGGTTGGCCTAGATGAACCTTTGGGTCCCTTCCAACTCACTTGCAAGAGAGAGGAAAGACCCAGAAAGATGGTGTGCAAGACCTTATAAAAACTTTTGAAATTCCCATCCTCTAGGTCAAGCCCACCCCCAAAAACATCATGCATACATTACAGAAAGGAGGGGTTGAGGGAGGAGTGGTGGTAACCTGAGTGTCCTGTCACCTGGCTGGTTCCTCCTTTCCCCCTCCCCATGAGTCACTTCCAGGAGACAAAGGGGAGTTGGCAGTTTCCTGCCCCCAGAGGGAAGATCTGATCATTGTCCTTTGTTTCAGTCCATGCTGAATCTACTCCCATATTCAAGTTCTTTGTGATCTTGATGGTCTTCTGTCTAGGACCATCAGGGTTGGCATAGCAACTGGGCAGGGCTCCTGTGGATGTGCTGGGATGGTGAAGGGATTATGGCTGACCAGAACCAAGCCACCCCCCATTGATAGTCCTTGTCATATGGAGTAAAAAAAAAATGGAACAGTGCAAATCCGATGTATGGTTGATTTTTCTATGAATTTATAACAGAAGTGTGGCATATGTAGTGTGTGAGTGTGAGTGTGTGAAGTTTGTACAAACTGAATGATTGGGGTGGGGGGTTCCTGCTACATATGGGAAAATCTGGATGTATGGCAGCCCTATTCAGTATGCATATTAAGGTCCAATAGAGAAGGTGTGGCTAAAACAGCATGTTCCAAAGGCAAGGGCATAGGGGCACGGCTATGATATTGTGTTCCCAGTTTGTGGATTTGGCTTGGAATTAGTGTTCCAATGAGGAACAGTTCAGGGCTGAGGAAGGCACTGAGAGATTCAGTGGCAGGGGAGCAACTAAAAATTAAACTATGTTCAACAAAACTGCATATCCTTCTTGGATTCTATCAAATGTAAGGGGAAGTTGCATTCTTCAGTGCCTCCCATAAAAGAAAGATAACTCCTAACATGTATAAAATTAGCACACCAAAAAGGTCCAGACCTAGTCCTCTTCCTAGTATGCTATATGCAGCAAGGATTAAAAATGTGGGCCCCTCCCTTGCAAAATGGAGTGGTACAGTCAAAGAAGGACTTATCATTAGATTTTTGAAACACACGTCAGCCTCTCAAAATTGTCTTTTAATGAGGTAGGTGGAGCTAAATTGCAGGTATATGGTTAGAACACAATATTGAAATGGCACTGGCAAGATTCTGTCTGTTGCCACATGCAAGAAACAGCACCGTTACGCTTGAGACTGAAAAAGGGTTCCCCACTCTGGCAACGGAAACTTATTTTTCTGTCGAAATAAATTAAGAAATTGTCCAGTAGCACCTTAGAGACCAACTAAGTTTGTTATTGGTATGAGCTTTTGTGTGCATGCACACTTCTTCAGATACACTGAAACAGAAGTTACCAGACCCTTATATATAGTGGGAGGGTAAGGAGGGGTTTTTATTTTTCTGTGTTGATCCCATAAGCCCAACCGAAGAAACTAAGAACACTTTGCCTTCCTTGTAAGAAAAGTAAGAAAGACGTGTGCTCACCTTTCATAGGAACTTAAAAGCTGCCTTATGCAGAGTTTGCCTACTTCAATACTGCCTACACTGACTGGCAGCAGCTCTCCAGGGTTTCCCTGGGGGAGCCAGGGATTGCACGTGGGACCTTCTGCATGTAAACCAGATGCTCTTTCCCTGAGCGACGGCTGAGTGGGAAGGAAGCGGGTGGTCGGGGGGGGGGCAGCCGTGGTATCCTCCTGTCACACCGTTTTAGGATCCTGCGTTGAATGGCTATAAAAGCATCGCGGCTCATTTGTATCTGTGAAAGGGAGGGGCGTGCTTTCACGCTCCCCCCTCCTTCTGATTCCCAGGGGGTGGGTGGGGGGTGCAGATGCTCTGGTGGTCAGAGAGGTCTGGGAAAGATGCCCGGTGACACGTGCAGCGCATTAGCTCTGGCAAAGGCAGCAGCTGCAGAGGACGACCCCCCCCGGACGCCTTAGGGGTGGAAATGGCGCTTGGCCATCTGATTGGAAGACGCGCCTGTTCTCCCTCCCTCCTCTCCCTCCGAGGTGACTCATCACAGAATCCCATCCTCAGCTCCTGTGCAGGATCCAGGAGAGGCCCTTCGTGGGGGAAGAGAGAGCGAAGGCGGGGGGGGGGGTCCTAGGAGTTGATGATGAGGGGAAGTGTAAACAAACACACCAGTAACCATGATGACTTCAGGCTGGGAGAGTGGGAATTGAGAAGGGGTCGACACCAGGGCGGGTGCTTCTCTTCTCTCTGTCTTTTGGAAAACAGGAGCAGCAGCAGCAGTAACGGTGATCGCTGGGCAGGGAATAGAAAATGGCATGGTGGCGCCAGGGCAGATCTGGTCGCCTGGCAGGAGAACTGGGCCAAGCTCCAGGTTAGGGACCCACAAAGCACCAAGCAGCCCAGGAGACACATAGGCTTGGGCAGAAGGCAGGTAGGAATCTCCTGGTAGGATACGCAAAGGAGGGGCCATAGCTCAGTGGGAGCGCATCAGCTTTTGTTAAATTTTCCAGTGAAATCCCATCAAAGCAAAAGTTCCGGGGCTGGCACTGTTGAGATGCATGGAACAAGAGAGAGTGTTTTTGAGCATGCATAAAGTGCCATTTGGTCTGCACTGAGCTACTGTTATATTACTTTTGAAAACAACAACACAAAACGTATAATCAACATGCTTTTAAAACTGGGCTCTGGTGTTTCCCATCATGTCCAGAGAAGAGTTGAGCCTGCATCTCTATTGTTAGAATGTAATGATTCCTACCCCTTCATGGATCACTGCCTTGCCGTGGCGAAGGGGCTTGAAGAACTCAGAGAAGCTATGAACTATGCCAAGCAGGGCACCCAAGATGAACAGGTCATAGTGGAGAGTTTTGACCAAACGTGATCCACCTGGAGGAGGAACCGGCAAGCTGAATAAAGACCAAAAATAATCTAACCTCTGCATAAACTCTGTGTAAGCAAATGAGGATGAATGCATTTGGCTCTCATCTGGAGGAGAGCCAGATATGGAATGGGGAGGGGGGACAGAATCTTGTCTGACCCTGCTTTCACTTTATCTTGAACCAGAATAGCACTGTCTCATTACCTCTGAGAAGTTTATTTTCCTCCTCTTTATTTATAATGTAAAGTAAAGACAAATGTAAAATAAATGATATATAAAATTACGCAGATACTATAAATTAAGGCACATGGGCATACTTTTGGGGTGGGGAAGGAACTGCAAGCATGACATAGATTATAATTTTAGGACTGGGAACCGGGGATAAATTTGCTGTCATCCAGGGTCACCTGCTGCCACCCCTTCCCTTTATTTCAGCTATGGCTGAGGAGTAAACTGAGTTTGGTGGGTGGCTCATCAGAGGGAGCCATCGGCCTCTGTGGCAGAGTCTAATTACAGGGCACACATCATCAAGGAGCCTGTTCCTGCTGTGTGATCTGCTCAGGGGAGGATCCAGAAAATCATCCAGATGGATATTCAGACAGCTGGCTCAAGAGCTAAGGCAACAGCCCACAATCGACTAACCAGAGGAGAAAAAACTGAGCAGCAAGTTGTGAGTGTTACAGATCTCTGCGTAGAAAAGAATGTGATAGCAGCCTACAAGGTTAAGAGTAAAATGTGGAACAATATAATTTTGCCTGCATCACACAAATACTAGGGATGAGCAGGAAAGAAGAGGCAGGCATGTCTCTGAACAGCAGCTGCTGGGATTTGCCAGAGGACCAGAGTACTGCTCTTTGTGTGTCCCACCTTTGGGCTTCCCCTGGGCATCTGGCTGGTCACTGTGAGAACACGATGCTGGATAGATGGAGCTTTGCTCCCGTCCAGCAAGTCTCTTCTTAGTTCTTTTGAGTCTTATCTCTCAGACCGCAGGCTGCTTTATGAGCAGCCTTCCAAAAGCTGCTGCCCAGGATTGGTGGGTTGCTTGGGTGGTCAAGCTGATCCTGGCCAGACTTTCTCATGCGTCCAGTGACAAGTTGCAGAGAGAAGAAGATGGTTTCTTCAAGCCTGCAAATGACTGAAAGAGGCACAGTTAAAACTATTACATGGCATTTCCTGCCACTTTCTGTATTAAAATGGAGGATCAGACACATTAGTTTGAAACTCCCAACAGCAGGCTCAGACTACAGAGAGATGAGCAAACAGAAGATTCAAACGTGGAAATTGAATGGCAGCATGAGAGTGAACTCCCCTCAGCTTAATTCAGAATGGAGTCTGAATTATATTTGGAAAAAGCTCACTGGTTCCCCAAGACTTCTGTTCTGATTTGTCATATTGGCCCATGTGCACTGACCGTGTTGTTTGCAGGCACTTGCTGGCCCTGCCATGAGGCAAAGTGAGACAACCACTTCAGGCAGCAGATTGGCGGGGGCAGCAGCTCCCATTCTCCTTTGTTGCCGCAAAGCCTATCCTGCGCCCCCTAAAGTGGTCTGCTGAGCTCAAGTGTGGACGAGGATGTGATCCCATCACCACTGCTGAAATAAGATTCAACTGTTACTCCAGTCAGCTTCTGAACATGGAATGGGGAGGTGCAATGGGCAGTTACTTTGAATTCTGACCCAGCTGAACCTTCAGCCCTTTTACAAAAGATTGTTGCATGCAGGGGAGCCAGCCTGAAGGAAATATTGTGGGGGCCTAGGTAAGCCCCGCATAATTGATCAGGCAACATGGTGCACACAAACCATTTGAATGGCAATGCCCATCAACTGGGGGGCAGGCCCCCTCAATTATTTTATTGTGGGGGCCAAAGCCCCCATGGCCCCTAGGAGTTGGCTCCTATGGTTGCACACCACCCCAGTCTCTGAGCAGTGCAAGATTGCAGGGGTTCCAGGCACTTACCTACGGTCTGTTTCCTTTTGGAAAGGAGGCCCAGTGGAGACGGTGCTGTCTTTGTGATATATAGTTTTTTTACACATATATACAAGCTGAGCCTTTGATGGAGGGGTTCATAGCATAGTCACCCCAAGAAGGTCTTATTGCTCCCGTCCATAGCCGCAGCCTTGCATTCAAACAGAAATCAAGCATCATACTCTGAGCCCTGCTCTAGCCTGTCACCAGGCTGCACCCCAGCCCCACAAAACTCTAGTTTAAAACTCTGGCTTTGTCTTCTGATGGACTCAGAGCTGAGAGAGGGGCCCCTCCCACTTGCCCTCTGGCAGAGAGCCTCCTCTCTCGGGCTTTCCAAGGGCTCATCACCTTCCTTTTGTTCTCCATCATCCCATGCAATTTCCTCATCTGGAAACTGGCCTGGCTTATCTTTTAACATTTGCTGAGTCCGGGGGTTCATTGTCTGGCACCCAGAAACTCATACCACAGGGAAGTCTGAAATTCATAACAGGAGTGTGGCACCCACACACTCATAAGAAGACCTTCCCTTGTTGAAGGGCTTGTATACATCTCCCTGATCCTGACCACGGAATAATGGTATGTTTCTGTCTATAGCTCTATTTCTACTTATAGCTATACCCCTGCAGTGCAGTGCAGTTATTTAACCGCTAGATGTCCCTGTACATTGTGATGTACTGTACTTGGAAAGGAGCAATGCATGGGAAAGAGCAGAAATTTATAGCTGAGGTGCTTAATCACATGTTCTTATAAATAATAGAACTGTAGAACTGTAGGGTGGGAAGGGACCCTGAGGATCATCTAGTCCAACCCCTGCAATGCAGGAATATGCAGTCCCATATGGGGATCAAACCTGCAACCTTGGTGGTTTCAGCATCACACTCTCACCAGCTGATCTCCAGTACATCCCGTCCCCTCGTCCCAAATTAATTCATCCCTTTTTACTAAACCAGTGGTGCTTTCTCAGTATGTCCTAAAACTACCTGCAGAATCTGTTAGGGACAGCATAGAGAGTTAAGGCCACATAAAGTAACAAAAGCAACAACAATAGGTTGTAACCAGTGCTTTTTTTCTTAAAAAATGTTTAGGGGTACTCTCATTTTGACTCAAGAAAACCACCATTTTATAGTTCAAATCGGGGAAAATAAATACAGTAAATGGACAAAATTACAAAGATTCACAAAATGTTTAGGGGTGTGTGTACCTCTGTGTCCCCCCCCCGGGAAAAAAAACTGGTTGTAGCCAATGTGAGTCCTACTTAGAGCAGACCCAACAAAGGTAATGACTCTCTCAGGTTCATTGATTTTGATAGGCTTACTCTGAGTAGAATGTAGTTCACTACCCTTCGAGCTGGCTAAGATCATCCAGAAAATTCAAGGCTTGGGTGAAATTTGGACTTCCCAGCACACAGCTTGTTTTCTTAACCGCTACCCTATTGTCAGGTGCAAGTCAGCAATAAATTACACAGAGTAAGTGAAGTCAGTGGTGTAAAGTTGGTGACTGGTGAGTGGGGAGAGTGTATGCGCACCAGTTTTTTTTGGGGGGGGGTCAGCCCAGCCCTCACCACCCGCCCTGCCTGAGTGATGGCACCCCCACTGGAGCAAAGAGGGGCTACACAGAGCCGCCTGCCCATTGGCGCAGGGGGGAGCCCGGCTGGCTGACACAGCCCTCAGCCGGTGGAGTGGCTGGGCCACGCTGGGGAGGCCTGGTTTACGCCCCGTCAAAAATGGTGTGTCTGGGACCACAGCCCCCCGGGAACCCACCACACTATGCCCCTGAGTGACATTAATAGAAGAAACAGGATCTGCTCAGGAGTGCCAGGCTGGATGAGCACAGCATCTCTTCTTGGGCTGGTCTTGCTCCTATGAGGCAGTGGTGGAGACTGAAGTCCCTGCCTTCCCACAGCTGCCTAAGTCTCCCCAAACAATCTGAGACTATGCTGACATGCCTGTCTTTGCTCCTCCCTTTTCATACTTCTGGTCCTGGGAGAGCAGTGGGGAAGGGAGCTCGACGCGGCAGAAGGGGAGACACCCTGGCCACGAGTGCAGGGGTGGGGAAGTGTGGCCCTCCAAGTGGGGCTGGACTCCAACTCCCATCATCCCATTGGCCGTGCTGGCTGGGCCTGATGGAGTCCAACTATGTCTGAATGGCCACAAGTTTGCCCACGTCTCCACTAGCACTGTGCCATCTTGAAAGAGCCCAAGGAGTCTCCCCAAATTCACACTCTCCTCCTTGTCCTGTAACCGCTGTTATTATTCAATGGCGCCAGCTCCATCCCCCATCAATACATTTTTTGGCAAAGGCACAGGGATAATTTTTGTGTATTTCCCCATATTGAAAAACTCAGAACAATGTACAGAGGAAATGAGAGAGGGAGGCCCTGCCCAGCTGAAGCGGCACGAACCAGGCAAACAAATGGCAGGGTGGGGGAGCAGGGTGTTATGTGCCCTCCTCACCCTGGCCTTGGCTGGTCATGTGGGGTCAAGGAAGGGAGGTGTCTCATTAGGGCAGATCTACAGGAGCTCAGCCCTTCTTCCTCCTAAGGGTCATGTCAGATGTTTGCTGCTCTAAGGTGAATATTACATGGGTGTGAGTTTCATTCTCATCTCCCTACTTGCCCATGATGCAAACAGAAAAATTGCTGAGTGGGGACAGAGACGGGGGAAGCCCCATTGTGCAAGACTTTGGTCTGGACCTAACAGAGCTCTACTTGGGCTCTGCAGCTCAGGCTCTATAGTTAGGGTTGGCGACTTTTCAAATGGGTGCCATTCTTTTATCTTTAACAGCAACCTTTCGTGGGACAATTCATCAGGAAAAGCATTCTCCATATTTGCTTCCTTGCTTGCTAGGAAAAGGGTCCCAAACATCTGCGGTTCAGGCTGCTGTTAAGGACACAGGCGGCAAGCAGCTTTTAAAAAGGGAGGGGGAGTGGTAACCCTTTTAATGCGGATTCATGCCAGAGTTGTCAGCCAAGCAGGGGGAAATGCTGTCTGGCCAACATATTGACCTTTGGACCAGCTGTCAGAATGCACTGAGCCGAGTAGAAATCAGCAGTAGCCTTTTCATGTGTTCATCCTTAAAAGCCAGTGTGGTGCAGTGGTTAGAGTGCTGGACTTAGGACCTCGAAGACCAGCGTTCAAATCTCCACTCAGCCATGCAGCTCCCTGGGTGACTTTGGGCCTGTCGCTGTCTCTCAGCCTGACCTACTTTGCAGGGCTGTTGTGAGGATAAGTGTGTGCACCAGCTTGAGCTCCTTGGAGATAAAGGTGGGATATGAATGTAATATTAGCTGCGATAGCTCAGTTGGTAGAGCACGAGACTCTTAATCTCAGGGTTGTGGGTTCAAGCCCCATGTTGGGAAAAAGTTCCTGCACTGCAGGGAGTTCAGACTAGGTGACCCTCGTGGTCCCTTCCTACTCTGTAAGCCATGTGTGTGCACTAAGCAGCCGGGTTGCTAAGTTCATCTCCAACTAAAATGTGCATGAAGCTGGTGCAGCCTTCATCCACAGGTTCCATCATCATCATCTTGTATCCCAGTAGCGATCTCAGTTCTCCAGGTTCCAGTCGCACCCATGCACCACAATGGAGTATCAGTCAAGGACAAAAGATCATGGGCCAGGGAGGCAGAACAACCCCTAAACAGCCTGATAACTGAGCCTGCTCCGTGGTCGCAGGAAGCTGACAGACTGTTGGGCTGTGTAGAAGGAAAAGCAGGAAGAGGCAAAAGGGAACGGAATGGATTATCCTGAATGTGGGGAGTCCACACAGCAACATTTCGTTGCAGGACCCACTTGTGCCTTCCATCGGTTTGTTTCTATCAGGGATAACCTCTGTTTCCTGGTATCTGTCATTGGTAAATCAGTATCCCTATCTTTCTTTTGGGAGGATTTGGGAGACCCAATAGATATTTATATGTATTATGTGTGCACACAGTTATGTCAGCTTCTTACTCGCCCCTTCCATCCCAAATAGTTGTCAATCCCTTGAGCAAATGTTGCTGAATGTGGTCAAGTAGCAGCTATTCTAAGTACAACCAGATCTGTTGTCAGATTAAACACCCTTTTAAACATTTTTATGTTTTAAAGAAGGAAATGGCTGTGGTCCGTTTACTCACACATCCTGTTTTAAAAGCCAGAGCTTGAGAGGCTATTGCACATTATAGCAGATGGCAAGAAGTGACCTCCTGAACAAAATGTTGTGTGAATGGTACTCAACCTTGGTAAGAGGATAGGGTTATAATATTTATCTATTGGCAGCATTTACTGTATTTTTCTCAGTTCTTGCTAGGGACGCGGGTGGCGCTGTGGGTAAAACCTCAGCGCCTAGGACTTGTCGATCGCATGGTCGGCGGTTCGAATCCCCGCGACGGGGTGAGCTCCCATCGTTCGGTCCCAGCTCCTGCCCACCTAGCAGTTCGAAAGCACCCTTAAGTGCAAGTAGATAAATAGGTACCGCTTTATAGCGGGAAGGTAAACGGCGTTTCCGTGTGCTGCTCTGGTGTCGGTTCGCCGGAGCAGCTTCGTCACGCTGGCCACGTGACCCGGAAGTGTCTGCGGACAGCGCTGGCTCCTGGCCTCTAGTCTGAGATGAGCGCACAACCCTAGAGTCTGTCACGACTGGCCCATACGGGCAGGGGTACCTTTACCTTTACCTTTTACCATATTTTTCGCCCTATAGGACGCACCGTCCCATAAGGCGCACGTAGTTTTTTTGGGGGGAAATAAAGGAAAAAAATATTATTTCCCCCCCAGGCGTGGGGCTGGGGCGGGGGAAGCCTGAGCTTCCCCCGACCCCAGCCCCCAGAACAGGCAACTCTCCGCAAGCTGCAGAAGCCCAGCGCCGGGCTCCCGCGCCTTGCGGAGAGCTGCGCGAAGTCTGGGCGCGCTGAGCTCAGCACGCCCAGGCTTCAGCATGCAGGCAACTCTCCGCAAGTCGTGGAGCCCGGCGCGGGCTCCCACAGCTTGCGGAGAGCTGCGTGAAGCCTGGAGAGCGAGAGGGCTCGGTGCGCACCGACCCCTCTAGCTCTCCAGGCTTCAGCGACAGCCTGCATTCGCCCCATAGGACACACACACATTTCCCCTTCATTTTTGGAGGGGGGAAAGTGCGTCCTATAGGGTGAAAAATACGGTATCTCCTGCCCTTTAGCCAAAAGGGTTCTCAAGACTGCCTTACAAAAACCAAGACTAAGGCAGTTCGTGCCCTCAGGCTCACAATTTAGACATGATATAACAGGAAAGATGGCAAGGAGAAAACAAATTCAAGCACATTCGTAAATTTACATTTCTTAATGGGCTTTGGGAAGGAAGCGCAAGGCTCTGGCAGGGTCCTCTTCTCAGATGCACACCCAGTGCGACCACACTGCTCACACGGCCCTAAATCCAAACAAAAAAGCAGCCATTTCCTTGTAGGGCCCCCCAGCCAGTTTAGCCCTCCAAGACTCAGGGCAAGTGTACCTAGCTGCCCACCCCCCTCGGCATGGGACTGCACCTCAGTGTTCCCCCCCCATTGCTCTACTCCAACCTCTGCCATTGTTTAAATTTTCTGCTTTTTTACCTCTCAGTATTACTCCACCCCTGGTTTACTCACACCTCTACACTTGCTTGAAACTGCCATTTCCCTCTCAATTTCTTCCATCTTTGTTTAGTAAACTTCTGTCATTGTTTTAAGCCACCACTTCCCCCTCTCAGTATCTTTCTTAATGGATCGCTGGAATGTGTTGTATGTAGGGCTGCTCTGAAGATTGTTCTGAAACTTTCAGCTGGTTCACAACCCAGCAGCTGCTAGGCGGTTAACTGAGATCCGTTGATCATAATGTAGCTTGCCTGTACTAAAATATCTGTCCAACAATAGACCAATCCGAATTTCCAGGCACAATTCAAAGTGCTGGCCTTGACCTTTCAAATCCTCAGTAGCCTGAGACCTACCAAGAATACCTAAAAGATAGCATTTCCCCACATCAGCTTGCCCAATCTGTCAGATCAACCTCAGCAGCAATTCTCCTCTAGGCACTCACACCATCAGAGATCTGGTAGCAAAGGTCCAGGAAGAAGGTATTTGCCATAGTCTTTCGTTGTCATTTAGCCTTGTGCCAGGTAAAGTCCTTTTTATGGACTATAGGTTTCATCTGAATTATGCTCCGGCTGTTGTTTAGAGATCTGTGTTCATGGGAACACAAGACATCAATCAGCCAAAGGCCTGGCTGAAGAGGAACTTTGTTGCCTGGCACCTAAAGGTGTATAATGAATGTGCCAGGCAAGCCTCCTTGAAGAGAGCATTCCACAGGTGGGAACCCACCACAGAAAAGGCCCATCCTCATGTTGCCACCTCTGGACCTCCCGTGGAGGAGGCACATGAAGAAGGGCCTCAGAGGATGATCTCAGGGTCTGGGTCGGTTCATATGGGGAAAGGCGGTCCTTGAGGTATTTCTGCCCTAAGGTGGCCCGCTGCACTCAAGTGCGTGGGAGGGTGCTTTTCTACTTCCAGTGCTGACATTCTAGTCAACTGCCTGTTCAGTTAGTCTCTGCATGTGAAATTGGGGAGGGGTTCATCTTGTCCTTTGCTTCAGGCAGCAATAAGTCTTTGGCTGTCCATGCCAAAAGGAGCATTGCAGGATGCACCCAATAACAGCCATAGTTCAATGGTAGAACATATGCAGAAGGTCCCAGGTTCAATCTCTGGCATCCCCAGGTAGGGCTGGGAGAGACTCCCTGTCTGAAACCCTGGAGAGATACTGCCAGTCCATGTAGACAGTATTGAACTAGGTGGACCAATGGTCTGACTCCCTGTAAGGCAGCTTCCTATGTTCCTAATTCTCTGGAATGACAATAAATCCAATAGGAAATGCACGATGGGATCTGCTCCAGACAAATCCAAGAGAAAAGTGTTCTATATACAGTATATGAGGGGGGAAATGTAAGAAAACCACTAGTGAGTCTCTGTCAGGGAAAAAGGCAGGATACAAATAAATATAATTGTAATCATAGCAAGGATAACAACAACCGTGGTTGAAACCGAGGCACGAGCCAAATTGCAGTGTTTTAACAAGACACTGAAATGCCCAGGAACCAAATCAGATCCACACTCCTTGTTCCTATAACAAAAATGCTCGATTAATATGGATGCTGCTGCCATGGAAGCCTGTAAGCTGCTCTTCTGGGACCACATCTGGCCCTCGATTCACGTCAACGTCTTCATTTGTTTACACATTTATGGGGTGAATCAGAGTCTGGGCTTGAGAGAAAAACTGGCAAGATAGGGGAGCTTTCTCTTGACTCACCTCTCTTTCATCCTTGGATAAATGCTCATGTAAACAAAGGCAGGGTTGTTATCTCTAGCCTGCAGTGGTGTGAGCAGAGTTCAGAGTTCCATCAGGACCAGCAGCATCCTGTGAAATGAAACACGGAATCTTGGAATTCCTTCACTGGGAGACAGTAGATGTCTCAGGGGGCAACAATCCCTAGAACAACATGCCTTGGACTCTAGAGCAAGTAAAGGTGTCCTCTTAATGTCCGCCAGAAAGGAGTGCTATATCTCAGCACAGACAGCAGGGGAGTTGTGGGAGGGGGCCTGGTCATACACCCCATCTCTGAATGACCTGAGTTAAGGGACTGACAAATCTGTGAAGCTGTTTCCAGGGCCAGCCTTAGCATTAGCCATTAGATGCTAAGGGGCCGAGAGTGGCATCAGGTGTGAGAGGACAGAACTATGTGTGCCACATAGCCTGCCCTGTTCCCACTAAGCTAGCCTGCTGCCTTCAGTGGTGGTGGTGGATGCTGCCCCATTGCAAGTCTTGAATTAGCATTCAGCTGCTCTCTGCTTGCCTTCTGGATGTGGAATGGGAGGCCTGGGGACTCCCTTTCTTCCTTTGCCTTGTTGTACTTAGCAGAGTGTCTTGGACCAACCCTGGCGGTGCCAATGAGCACTTGTGCTAGAAATCCAAAATCTAGATGTGGCTTCAGAGCTTGAGGCTCAGGGGGCCTCAGTGGTGCAGAGTACCTTCCATCAGTTTCGGGTAGTGGCCCAGCTGCACCCCTATCTGGACAGGGACTGCCTAACTACTGTTGTCTATGCTATGGTAACCTCTAGGGCAAGACAGATTGAGCATATTGCACTGATCCTGGCCCAACTTCACTGGCTGCCAATTAGTTTCTGGGGCCCAATAAAAGTGCTGGTTTTGACCTACAAAGCTTTAAACGTCTCAGGACCACAATATTTCAAGGATTGCCTCTCCTCATATGATCTGACCTGGACCCTGAGATTTATCTTCTGAGGCCCTTCTTCGTGTGCCTCCTCCTTGAGAAGTCCACAGGGTGGCAAGACAAGAATGGGCCTTTTCTGCAGTGACCCTCCATTTGTGGAATGCTCTCTCCAGGGAGGTTCAGATGGCACCTTCATTATATATCTTTAGGCATCAGGCAAAAATGTTCCTCTTCAACCAGGCCTTTGGCTGATTGACATCTGGTTCTCTTTTAGATTTGTTGAAATGTGGCAACCCTAGATCATTGGCTTGTTTCTGCTCATATTTTTATTATGTATTTTGTGTTTTTACATTGTATTTTTATGTTGTGAATCGCCCTGAGATCTATGGATGAAGAGTGGTATACAAATTTAATGAAGCAGCAGCAGCAGAAGAAGAAGCTTGCTGCAGCAAGGTCAAACTACGCAGCTACAGCCACATGGGAGCTACTTCACGCAAACATCTTGCTTCACAGAGCCTTCAATGTGTGTTTCATCTCTCAACACGGAAGGGCCACAGTTCAGTGGTAGACCATCTGCCTTGTATGCAGAAAGCCCCAGGTTTAATCCTGGGCATCTCCAGGTAGGGAATGCCACCTGCCTCAAGATCCTGGAGAGCTGAGGCCAGTCAGTGTAGGCAGTTTTCTGTGTTCCTAATATGTAAATGTGTGACATGTAAGGGTGGCTCATGTGTATGACCCTTATGTGGATGTTGGTGCCATCCAGCGCTGACCTGCATATGTGGATGACTTTGGATCTGGGCTTGAACAACCCTTCAAGTAGAGGACTGCAAAGCAGAACTCATGGGCACCTAAGATGGCATCACCTAACAGCTGCATCACAATAGAGCCACTTCCCACATCTGCTACAAGTGATGAGAAAAGGAGAGGTGCAGCTGCGAGTGACACGCAGCCCAGAAGCGATTTGGCCAGGCTGCTGTGCGGAGTCAGTGGCAGATGGACAAGAAGGGCCCCTGCACACAACCTGCTTACTGCGCATTCATCCTGGAACTTAGACTGCATCTGGTCTTTACTAAGTGTTCATTCTGATGTGTTTGCGGGGTGTCTACACATCTTCCTGTTAGTTAGTCACTCATTCATCCCAAACTTTCCAAGCCATTTCACCATCACTTTCCAAACTGCGAAAAGTCTGATTCTTGTTTAAAGAGGATTTGTTGTGCTAGGAGACGAAGCCCTTTAATCCACTTCAACTGCGCAAACTGAAAGTTCCAGTATATGCTTGAAACCTCCCTGCAAAATAGCAACAGTCTGGCAGTATCCCGAAGCCTGCTCTATGGGCTGCATAGGCACCATGCACTTAAAGCACATGACTTCCCGCAAAATTCCTGGGAACTGTGGTCCACCCCTCACAGTGCTACAATTCCCAGCACCATTAACAAATGACAGTTCCCAGGATTCTTTGCAGGGGGACGTGCTTTAAATACAGTATATGGTATGTGTTGTTTGTTAGAGTCACAGGGTGTTATGGCACTGTGAGTCAAGAACCCTAGCCTAGGGTAAATTTGTTCAGAGCGAGTGCTTTCCCAGTATCAGGAACGACACTTGCATTCTTTGACTCAGTGCAGGCTGTGGCGGGTTTCCTTACTTCACCGCCATCCCCATTGTCCCTTGGACCCCAGCCCAGTCTAACGGAAACGGGATTCTAAACATAAGACAAGATCCATTGTTTGCTTTTGTGGCTGATGCTTTCCTTTGAAGTCTCTGAAAGCTAAACACAGGCAGGCAGGCAATTCAGTTTTACAGGCATCCCAGCCGCTCTTCCTGATAAGGAAATATCAAGCTGCAGGAGTAGAGATGGGGGTTGGTGGATAATCAAGAGGATTGAGGCAGACAGTGAAAGGTTCTGGGCAGGCAGTTAGCATGCCAGTGTCGTCATCTGTGGAGGAAAGTTGTCTAGGCATGGATTATTTCTTTAAACTACAAGGAGGGAGTGGTTTCTTATTTTTTTGTAATGCTTTTCCTGCCTACTATACCTCTGTCTTAGTTCAGAGCAGTTCAGCCAGTGGCCAGAAACATGTACAATTGAACTCATTAATGGTTCCTCGTCATCCTGGAAAAAAGTGACACATGGGGTGCTGCAGGGATCTGTCCTGGGCCTGTTGTTGTTCAACGTCTTAATAAAGGACTTGGATGAAGGAATTGAGGAGGTGCTCATCAAATTTTCAGATGACATTAAACTGGGACGGGTAGCTAATGCCACAGAATGCAGAATCAGAATTCAAAATTATCTGGGTGCAAGCTAACAAAATGAATTTCAATAGGGACAAATGTAGGGTTCTGCACTTGGCAGGAGGAACCAGATTCACAAATATAAGATGGGGGACACCTGGCTTACTAACAGTACATGTGAAAAGGATCTAGGGCTCTTGGTGGACCACAAGCTTCACATGAGTCAACAGTGTGAAGCAGCAGCAAAAAAGCCAGTGCTGCTCTAGGCTGCATCAACAGAAGTCTAGTGTCCAGATCAAGGGAAGTCATAGAACTGCCTCTCTTCTGCCTTGGTCTGACCGCACCTGGAATACTGTGTCCAATTCTGGGCACCATAATTTAAGTAGGATGTTGACAAGCTGGAAGGTGTGCAAAGGAGGGCAACAAAGATGATCAGGTGTCTAGAAGCCAAGCCTTATGAGGAACATTTGAAGGTGCTGGATATGTTTGGACTGGAAAGGTGCCCCAGCAACTCTGGACAGCTTTCAACACTTATAAAAACATAATAAAACTTCATACATTTAGAAGCTCCTTATACTGTACATGGCTGCCTTCAGATGTCTTCTAAAAGTCGGGTAGTTCTTTATCTCCTTGACATCTGATGAGAGGGTGTTCCACAGGGAGGGCACCACTACTGAGAAGGCCCTCTGCCTGGTTGCGTGTAACCTCACTTCTCACAGTGAGGGAACTGCCAGAAGACCCTCGGCGGTGGACCTCAGTTTCTGGGCTGAATGATGGGTGTGGAGGCGCTCCTTCTAGTAACAGGGCTGGGCTAGTTAGTGTTATTTGTGCAGCACTTTTAACGCTAATCACAGTTTATCATGCATAGAAGAGGGTATACTAACTAGTCTACCTGTGCTTAGCATTAGGATGGTGGGAGATTGAATGCCCATGTGAGAGAGAGCCAGGTGCAACGAAGTTAACAAGTTCATGGGACATGCCATATCACTTGACCATGGTTGGGCGAGGGAGCAGCATTACATAGAATCATAGAATGTACATCTGCAAGGGGCCAACAAGAAAACTGGAACTGTAGCTCATAAAGCGGTACCAGTTGGACAGCATCATAGTAACACAGGAAGCTGCCCTGTACTGAGTTAGACCACTGGTTCACATAGCATAATAATATTATCTATACTGACTGGCAGGGGACATGCCCAGGTCTGCATCCTTCTGCACGCAGAGCTGATGCTTTACTGCAGAGCTACTCTTCTTCTCAAACCAGTGGGAATGCAGCACAGCTTTGAACTGCTCTGTGGAATTCAAATGCTTGTACGCTTTGTGCATATGTGTGGTGGGTATGCATGCTAAGGTGTCCCCTCGCCTTTGAATCTTCTACCAACCATGGTAGCCACTGTCTTCTCAGCTTCCTAAGGGAAGCCCACTTTGGCTTTACAAACAAAGGCCACTCTCCTCCCACCCCCACTTCCACTACAGCCACATCCTCACTCCCCTGCGCAGGGAGGAAAAGCACCTTGTGGGAAATCCAAGAGTCTGCGAGGAAACCGGCATTGTAAGGAGGAAATGACACACAGGAACTCTCTGTCTGCATTGTAGCACCTTCCAAAAGTCAATGGATTATTAGACTGGCCACCTGGCTAGGGAATTTGTTATTGCTGCTGCTGCTGCCTTCAGGAGGTACTATAAGTGTTCATTGTGCACAGTATTTACTGGGACTAGATGTGGAGGCATGAACTGAGAAAGCTGCTTTTCAGGTCAGACCATTGGTCCATCTTGCCCAGGATTGTCTACACTCATGGGCAGAAGCTCTTGCCCAACCCTACCTGAAGGTGCAGGAGATTGAAACTGGGACCTTCTTCATGCCAAGCAGATGACGTACCTCTGAGCTATGAACGCTCCTTTTGTTCTGAAGCTATAGACTGGAGACAAGCAATAGGTATCTGTCTGGAGGCATTTTGAAAGACAGAGTGGTTTATGCTATCTATTTTATTTAGCTGTATTGATTTATTTCAGCATTTATATACACACAATTAAGCCTATCCCCTGGACAGCTCACCAAGTGAAAACAATAAAATACAAATACGATCAATTAACAGCGAAAACAATCAAAGCAAAAGCAGCACCAGCACAAAATTAGCACAACGCCAATATAAAAACAATATTAAGCAGTAGAACACCAATAAAAATAACACCAATCCAACAAGGGGGAAACCAAAACAGATATAAGAAGGTGGAGGTTATACACATTTTAAAATTAAAAACACAAAATTTCAGAAGCCTAGAATGTCTTCCCCCTGGCACCGAAAAACTCCCAATCTGAGTGCCAGTTGGGCCTGTCTGGTGAGAGAATACCAGAGCTGGGTGCCACTACCAAAACGGCTCTGTCCATAGTGACAAAATTTGGGGCAGGTTCAACTTACTCCAACTCGGCATCATTCTTGGAAGCTGTTGGGGTCTGGCACCTGGAGACAATGCATTCCCCTCCCCAACACACATACTATACCCCCCCCCCAAATCAGCCTAAATCCATCCCCCAGAGGGTGGCAAATTGGGAGAGGGCATTTCTGCTCAGCTCTAAATTGGCTACATGAGATGACATGGAGGGTCCAGGGTTTAAAGCTGGCACTCTTCTGCATGCCAGGTCTCCCACCAATCTCCCACCCTTCTAGTGCTGGGCATTGTACAGGAACAGGATAACTGATTGTGGTGTGTATATTCATCCCACAATTGCCTCTGGATCGTAAACAGGTTCTGCAGGTTTCTGTGTTGCTTCAAAAAAACTTATCAATCCTGCTAATCCAGAGGCAACAAGGGGGCAAAAGAATAATAATTGCTGGTTCTTTGTATATCATAGGAAGTGGAGTCTCTCTCAAACCACTTTCAACTCTATTAAAAACTATTGCTGGTTTCCAGGCACAAAGCAGCAACTCTGCTTTGATTCTGTTTTCTAGAATGGATGCCAACCCTACCTGTTGAACAAAGCAGTAAATGGGAAGAGTAAATGGGAAGAGCAAGTGTGGAGCAAGAAGACTCTTACCTTGAACTAATTCCAGGAAAATGCTTCCACTTACCCTTACTATGTCATCATGCCCTAAATATAGGGCAGTCAGCACAAGCATGGGGGCACTCCATATATGGCAGTTAACTACTAACCCATTTTAATGTCTGTGTGCGTGTGTGTGCGTGTGTGCGTGCGTGTGCACATGCATATAACAATTTAATTCAAGATTCCTAACCTTCAGAAACAGGCATCATAAAATCCTATTTTTAAAAGTGTACATATCACACCATTCTGTCTCCTGGGGGCACTTGAGATAGCCCAGAACAGCAATAAAAATCATAAATAAAATCAAGTCAAGAACTGGCACACTAAAAACCTAATAAAAATGGAGT